ACGTTGCTGTCCTTGCAAGAAATGCTCGCAGCCGGATACTCAGATCAATGTGTTGTTTTATTTTAAATACAATCCGATACTTTCTCTCGCTGTCGCGGGCGCGCGATTTTGAGGCGTTACGATTGTTGTTCGCCGCGGAACGCCGCGGAACGGCGGCTCTCTCTTGGTGATTCCGAGAACGAACAATACGTCCAAAGTCGGTCACGAGAAAGAGAAAAGGTTCGCCGCTCTCGCAAAATCGGGGCTCTTTAAGGTCCACCCAGATGCAATCTCTCACGCGTTCGCCCGCGAGATACGCTGAAAATCGCGAGACTTTCTAATTCCCTCCTCGCGTGTCCCCTTCGGAATATCGATGGCAAATTTACGCGAGTCTTACTGCATTTACACTTAGATATATCAAAGGAGCAATGGCAACTGAATTCTTTGAATTAAATAGGATTTTGTTATTTTTTTAACTTTCATGGATGTTAAAATAGAAATTAATCCATTTCTGTGATTAGTTTCGAAGTAAACATTGCGTTATCCATATTACGTATGCATTTAGTAAATAATAAACAAAATTTGAGTCATATTCAATATCTTTTCTTAAGTTAAATTGATCAACTCCATTGTTTTAATCAAATTAGCGATGGAGCAGTGGCGATCTGTAGATATGATTAAAAATAATTCAAATTAATGATATTATGAATTTAACAGTACTCGTTGCGAACTTCTCGATTCTATCGCAGCGATGGCTATCGATCGTTGGCATCACTGTCGATAATAGCCGACGTTCACATTTCAATTTTTTAACCTTTCACGATGACTGGCGAATCAACATTTTCTGCTTCGTGACTTAAAAGACTCGCCATCGAATTCATATAGCAAGCGGAAACGTCGCGGCTCGTTTAATATCTAACGCATCGAGAACCGGAGATTGTCGATCGGCGAACACTACGATTGAGTTTTTTGGGAAGAAAAGGCGAGTATGCGTATCGTGAAACCAACAAGATTTGGAAGGACCACCGGCGTGGCTCCGGAATATTCTACGTGCCATGAATATAACTGACAAGTACAAATGCTTAGGATTAGCGCCGCGCGCTCCAGACATTATATTTAGTCGGATATTACTTATATTGCGCGGGCCGCTGTCTCCTTCCATGATGTAAGAATATCAACATTCCCTTGGATGCAGCAGTCGTTTAAAGTAATGATGATGTTTGGTCAACCAGAAATCAGCTCCAAATTTTAAGCTAATATAAATAATCGTTATTAAAAATTTACCACTAATTAAAAATTGCACCCAAATTGCACTGAGAAAAATGTTTTGTATATGTAACACAAATTTTCTTGCTTTTTAATTTAAATTTTTTGTTGTTCTAATCAAAATTTTATTATTCTAACCAAATTTTGATTAGAACAAAATTTTGAAGTTAAAAAGAAAGTTTTGTAAGTTTAAGTTAATTAGCGTAAGTTATTTTTGTTGTTAATAAAAATTTAGTTATTTCAAATCAGATTTTGATTAGAATAATAAAAATTTTAAATTAAAAAGAAGAAAGTTTTTGTAAGTCACATTGAGAAAAAAATATTCTAAATTTCAACAAATATTTATTTGAATAATATCAATTAAATATTTATTAAATATAAAAATATCATAATTTTTTTTTTTACAAAAAACATTAATTTGATTTAACAATCATTTCTTCTTATCAAATAAATATTTATTTATTGTAAGTAAATGTTTAGTTGGCACTATACAAATAAATATTTATTTAAATTTAGGCTATTTTTTTCTTCAGTGCACATATGCAAAACATTTCTCTCAGTTATTCTATATTCAGTTGTCACGTACAATATTATACTTGATACTTTACATTAAAGGTGTCTTCCGTTTGGCGCTCACAATGTTCGCGAGCATTATTTGTTCTTGTTTAACATTTGATAAACAATAAGGATGAAATGATTTCCTGAGCATCGCTAGCGTCAAGTGGAACGCATCCTATGTCTTTTGCCGTCGTCGCGGGTCGCAGTCGCGGAATTGCGACGAGATGTCCGCGCGATTTCGCGGCCATTTGGAATAATACCGTGGTGATTCATTTCGCGGATGCCGTTTAAAATTAAACGCCGCCTCGCCGCGTCGCACAACCTCGGTTAACTGACGCTCGCTTGGTCGCTTCGATTCCAGCAAGAAATTATTATCGTTGAAGGCCACGTAGATGCTTTGGCTTTCGCCGTCGGACTGCTTGAGAATTGTGAGTTTGTACATTCGGATGTGAGGAATCGTCAATGGGCGAATGTGACGTTCGATTCTGAATGTAAATGAATTTTTTCCAACAGTCTCATTCACGACTCCTCGTTTGACTCGCCTGATTCAATATTTGATGTTACACGGTCATGGTAATTGAGAAAAGATCGCTCCCGATGGAGGCGATCGCAAACGGCAGATGCGTGTCACACAGTCGTGTAAAACATAAATGGATGTGCATGATAATTAACTGAGTAAATAGTACGCTTCGCTGAATTCGTCGTAATCCGTTATCTTTGGCGATAGCGCGCACGTGTCGCTCGTCTTCATTCGTTTGCATAACGAGGCCGCGAATATACTCGCGATATTCTAATAATGTACTATCGCAAGAAATTCCGATCTGCAACTTCGATTTCGAATGCGAGGTTAGCGATAATTTGCAATATCTTCTCAAGGTTGTGATTGAACTCGGAAAGGAAGAGAGAGAAAGAGATAATCTTGAACTTTTTGCAATTTTACGTCGAGCTGGATTTTATATATATTGTGAAAAAAAAAACTGTTAATTTTATTAGTTTTTATTTCTTTTAATTTAGTTTGTTCTATTTTTTTTGTATTATATTTGGCTTAATGCGTTCTCCAGCAAAAGAAATAAAGACAAACTAATTTAGTCAGGTTAACAACTTTTTTTTCAAGTGTAATATTTTGCGATAACTTATCACAAGACATTAACTAAGCACAATTGTCACCGGTAAACAATATTTTTGGAATCTTTATAAATTTCGCCAAATAATAAAAATTTTTTCAATTTTCGTAGAAAAATGTTTACGTAACTATAAAGAATTTTTCAAAGAAGTAAAGAAGCACCAAATATGTTCAAGACAGAAATCTTGGTGCCTAATAATTCTAAGTAAATTTTAAATATATCTTAATTGTATTTTAAAATTTATTTATTGTTAGAAATATTATTAAGTAGGGTTGATAAATTAATGTTTTTCTTTTTTTTAATTAAATTAAATTAATGGCTTATAAAATTAATAAAATTTAGTTAAAAGTTGAAGGAATAAAATATTAACTTAATAAAAGTTAAGATTGAATTTTAACTTAAGTTTAAAAAAAAATTATTTTTAAGATAATGTCCCAATTTTTTTTTAAATGACATTACTTTAAATAACACAATATAAATTATTAGTTAATTTTTAGTTTAGTTTTTTTATTCACGTGTAAGTTATATATTTATATATAATAAGGGTCACACCATAAGATATTTTTATCAAAATCTTGCGAGAGAGATGGGTATATATTATTTGCATTATCTTTCTTTTTTTTTAACCTTTATCTAACTTCCGAAACAACTGCTCACGCATGTTTACGACTACTAGATATTTGTTACAAAAAATTACGTAAAAATTTAGAAAATGGGTGGATGTGCAGCACTGTTTTATAACAATTCTTCATCTAAGGCTCATTTTTTATTTATGTTGCTGAAATATAATGTTTATGACACCTAAAATTAGTGTGATTCAAATATAAGCGGGAATTGACAAAATCTAGCGAGTCAAAACGGACTACTGTATGTGACTATTATTATAAAGTCTCTAATCATAAAATTATTGTACTTTTTTTAAATTAATTCTCTAATGTTTAAGATTTTATAGAAAAAAATATTAGCATTAAGAGATAGAAACATTTTTAATTTTAAAAAAGTTAATAAATAAAGTTTAGGAGTAACTAAATTAAGTTAAAAATTAATTCATTTACAATTAACTAAGTTGAGTTAAAAGTTTTTAACTTTTTAATTTTTTTTTTTTAACTTTTAATGTTTTAACTAATTAATACCCAACCCTGTTATTAAGCATCAAGATTTAATCTCGACCATTTTGGCGCGTCGTCTTTACTTCTTTGAAAAATTCTTTGATTTATAAATTTGTAGATTAAATGAAATTGAGGACAAAATACTTTATCTTTGCTCATTTACGAGAAATAATATGGATCGCAAAGGTGCGTTGCCGTTCTGGTAGTTCGGTGCTCATAAAAAGTCTCACGTTTCTTTATCGAGTTAAATAAAGCAGCCTTGTATTTCTATCGCGCGCGTGTTAATATGGATAGATAGGAGCAACATAGATATGCAAGACGCGCGCAATAGTGATCAATGACCGCCAACAGCCAACGTCGCGTACTTGTCGAGAAAGTTGTCCGGAATCTGCGTTCTGCAGAAATCTCTCGCAAGCACACTTCCGTCTTTCTCGGTGCTCTCGCATCGACTTCGAGACAACTCCCATATTACTTGTCGAATGTTCTTGAAACTGGCTATCCCTTGTTTGATCATCGGTTTTCCAACTGGGAAACTTCCGGGGGAAAGGGGAGAGAAAGGACTTTGATGCCTTGATTATCATGATAGCGTTAGATCTCGTTAAAGCTAAAGAATTCTTAGCAACACGTCACAAATTGTAGCTCGCGTTTCAGTTCTCAATTAGTCTTAATTATGCATGAATCATTCGACAAATTAAAATTATTCGATTAAATTATCTTTTACGATTCACAAAGAAATGTTCCTTATAAGTGCGTTTTGGAGTGTAGAAATTAGCGGATCGACAGGCTCCTTCACTTAAAAGAAATATATCTGCGTTGTAATTTAATTTAACAGAGTTTAATTCCTTTGATGTTAGTTTTGCAATGACACAAGCGAGATACAGAAAAATAAAATCACATTGTTATTTGATAAAACATCTCAAGTGTCGACTTTTGTAATAATGATTTTGATTTTTTTCTCTTGCAGCCTATGGTCCACAGTCCTCAAATAGCCAAATCGAGAACTAGACTTGGTGAAGCCGGGTGAGGACGATAGCCAACAGTCCTTGGACCGGTCGCTAAACTCGCTCGCGAGTTTCCACTTGGCGTGCTCTCATAAGGCTACCAAAACGTCGACCCCATCGGTAATCAAGTTATCGGGGGGTGGAACAGGTGGCAGTGGGGAGCAATTGTCCCCAGGGCCTGGCCCACCTCCCCCGGCATCTTCGTTGATCGGCAGTGACGGTCGCATCAACGAGAATACACCAGCCACAGATAACAATGATGACGAAGCGAAGCAAACTGTCGTTTCGATGGCGACTGGAACGACGAAGTCTACGTCTGCGGAAATGGAGAAGGAATATGGTCAAGCTAATGAAACCACCATGAGTTTTGTTCTGAAACTAGATGTAGAAGCTGCAGCTGCGCCGGTGGTGGAGAACACGACAAAGGACAGCGACAGGAGTGAAGAACAGCCACCGACGTTACTGTTCGCTCAAGAGATATGGCGATCCCAGGAGCCCGTTGCAGTCGCCACCGGCACAGCAACGACTATCACCACGACAGGGAACGCCATGGTGATCACGAGCGGCGACGACGCCACTGTGGCTACTAATAGTGGCAAGTTGCAGTCTCTGGAAGCGACAAGCAACCAGGAGCAGCAGACTACGACGATCACCACTGCGTCTACTCTCACAAGTGTCAAGCCTGTGGTGACTTATCCAGTTGCTAAAGGCGCCAGGGAGCAGGTGCAAAAAATTATCACCGGTTCACAAACCAACACCACGGAGGTGTTGACATCGCGTGTCATCTCGCAGAAGTTATCGCCATCGTCCACTGATCAGGCGCAGCTTGTCCCGGTGACGGTCAACATTTCTTCTCAAACATCGACTAACTCGACGTCCTCGCCATCCCCCAACAGTGGCGGCGTTCTCTGTCCTTGGCAGACAACCATGATCACTGTACAAAACAGTCAGCCGATATATCAATCGAAGAATCAAGTTACGACCACTGACCTTATCCATTGTAAGCAGCAACAAGTAACGGTGGCAAGCAATGTACAGACTACGTTACATCACAAATGTCAGCCAGTATATTCCACGAGCACTTCTACTACAGCGGTGAAGGATCTACAAAGATTTTACACGAAATCATTGCCAAGCAGCATCATCTCAGCTAGTCAATCGGCGCAAAAAATCAAGACCGTGACAAATGTGATCACTAACCCATCTACCATAGTTGCGCAACGTAATAATTCGTTATCTAGATCACAAGGTGCGCAGAAAACACGAGTGTTACCTGGTCAGTTTATAAACAATCAGGTAACAGCGAACAACGCAAATCCGCAGAAAATTCAGCTAGGCAATCCGACACAGAAGACGACGCAGCCTGTCGGCGCAACGAATATGCAAAAAACAACCCTCCAACCTGTCTGCAACAATCAAAAAGTTCCATTGTGTGGCAATCATCTTCCAAATCTGAAAACGCAACAGCAAAAGTTGCAAATGCCTCATAAGATATCTCTAACCGTGGGCAGGCAACAATTACAATCAAGTACACAAATAAATAATGTTTCGAAATCTAGTAATCTTGTAACCGGTATACAAAAATATCCGCCACCTGGGCAACATTTTATGGCATGCCAACAAGCAACCAGATCTCAATCAACGGCAACCGGGCTGCAAAAATCTCAGACAATGGCCACAGTACAAACCACCAAACTACAAACTACGATGAGTAATGTTTGCAAGAGCAATAGTGTGCCAAACGTCTCCAAATCATCGCAAAATTCGAATGTGCTTAAACAACAAATACAGTTGCAAACTACGTCGGCGCAATTGTTACAAAGTTCGCAACAAGTAATCCAAAAGTCTCAACAGCAATCGGCGAATAATCTACAAGTTCAACGAGGTATTACTAATGTGCATTCGAAGGTGATAGCGCCTGTACCGAACAATCAAAGAACTCCGGTTATGATGAACTCGAAAGTTCAACAGCAGCAACAGCAACAGCAACAGCAACAAACGATGATGAGGGTAGGAATATCGAAGGGTCAGACGCAAGCTGCTCAAACTGTAGCAAGTCTGAAGACTATCTCGCAGAAACCCATAGTGAATCCCGCTAAGACGACTGCAAATTCCCAAAATAATGTTATTCAACAGCCTATCATAGTGCAAAGAAATAACAATCCTCCTCAACCCGTGAAAATTATTCAACAACAACAGCAGCAACAGAATATAATCGGTCCGCAAAATGCTCCGCAAAAACAATCTGGATGCATCAAGACTATTCCACCGCAGAAACCTGCACAAAGAAATCACGCTCAGAAAATTGGCGGCAACCCTGTCGTTAAACCCTTGTTGAGTTCAAACGTAACAGGATTTACGAAAACCCAAGGTCCGATCGCGACACAAGTGGCGCAAAAAACATGTATTAAGACCTTGCTGCCGCAGCAAACGGTGGTCACACCATCCAATGTGATAGCTCCGCACAAAAACTCGCCGATCAAAATTCAGCAACAAGCGATACAGCAGAAACAATTGGTCATGACGCCGCAATACACTCAGCAGATCCGACAGCAAGCCGGACAAATAAAAACGTTGCTTCCGATAACCTCGGCTACGATTGAACCTCGTAAAGACGTCACTGAGAATAAGTAAGTTTAAGCTTAAGTATGTGAACTTTATAATAAATTTATTTACTTCATTTTATTCTTTTTTAAATGATTTTATACTGTTATAATAAAGTAAAACAATAATACTTGTAGAATCGACAATGAGTCACGGATGTCTAAAGAAGAGGAGCAAAGTACGCCTAAATCGCCAGTAAGAAGAATGCCGCTTCCTTACGAGGTACAAATCTATACGTTATAAAGTATACTCAATGTGCTTTAGTTTATAAGATGTGTATGTGTATCTTAAGATTATTAATGGATTTTCAATTTAAAGCAAATTCTTTTTTAACTGCAGTGTCTTCAGTTCGTTCTCCAAGATCATAATTATGGAGCGCCACCGCCACGAACGCCACCTCCGCCTCCATCGCCACCTCCTCATTCGAAGCAGCAACCCATTAACGGAGCCGGCAGTTCTACAGCTACCTCCCAACATCCTTACATCTTTGGACCTGGTAATGTCAATATTATTGTCAGTCATGAATTTATTTTTTTTTTTCAAGAATTTATATTTTTGAAACTTTTTACAAACTAGGAAACCATCGTGTATCTTTTAATGTAGAATCTAATGAAGTTAGGAGTAACAAATATTTTTTATAATTGAAGTTACAACCAACACCAATGTGGAGGATGATGCTGCCAGTGCGATAAGTAGTGAAGAGGGACGAGAGGCGGAACCGGAAGGCGAAGAAACTGAAACAGCACCCGAAGGCGAAGGTGATGACGAAGACAGTGTTACTAGATGTATCTGGTAAGTGAATAACAATTTTATAGAAGATGTATAATGTTACATATTATGGCTAGCGATAATAATGTGTTTCATATATTATTTTTAGTGACTTTGAACATGATGACGGATATATGATATGTTGTGACCGTTGCTTGTAAGTATCACCAATATTTTTACATTACTAATGTAGAATATAGATCGAAAAATATTTATATATTTTTAGTCTGTATTTTATAAAATAATTATACTGAAAAATTACGCATCCCATTTGATGAAAACAGTACTTATTGAGAACTGATTATGCGATCGTAGAGTATGGCAGCACGTCGATTGTATGGGCATTGATCGTTCGAACATTCCTGATGAATACCTCTGCGAGAGATGCCGACCACGACGAGTGGACAGACAGCGAGCACGCGCCTTGCAAATGCGTAAACGCGAAGAGCTTCTTAATTCGGACATGTCTTCCGACGCGTCGTCCACCAATTCAGCAGACACGGACGTCGGTTCGGTGAACAACGCCACGGCCCAAAAGAAACGTCCGCTTTCGCAGCAACAATCGCAAATTCCGAGGCGCAACAAATCCGATACGTCTGCCCAATCGTCACAGGTGCGAAGGTTAAATAACAACAATAATAATAATAACAATAACGTTGGAAAGAGGCAAAGAAGAGATTCGCAAGCCCGACAATCAAGCACCGTTCGTAAGAAGGAGAACAATGCCGCTCCGAAGCGAGGACCTGGGAAACGTAAGGCTAAAAGGAGAACGAGTCTGGAAGATAAAGAGGACGATGTGCAAGATGCCTGGGGTACCAATATGGCTCCACTTAGACAATGGATCGAAAGATACGAAGAAGCCGTTACGAATCATTACAGCCCTGAACTGCGAGCTAGGATATCAAATATCAAAGTCAACGGCACGCATAGCGACCTAAGGCAAAGTAACATGAATGTCGTTGCCACCGGTAAATGCCGGCTCAACGTGCACAGCAATAATCTTAGAGTAAGTAAAACGCTATCTTGAATCTGTACGAAAAAATACATAAAGAAATGTTTTGTCATTATGAAAACTGTTAAATTCTTCTTTTTAAATTATTATTTTTATTTTATTACTATTTAGGATAGAGTGGGGCTTTTTTGTTCACTTCTCGCAATAGTGTTTTGTCTCTGAACAGCCATATACTGAATATTTAAAAGTCATACTTAAGCTCTCAAGCAATCATGATATATTGTGATTATATAAGTTGTAAGCACGTCATTGCAAAGAAATAAATATATTACTATCCTAATTTTATATTGCTTCAAGGTTGAAATTGATGGAATAATAACTTCGCCCTACCCTATATTTGATTTATTGAAATAGATACTAATCTTTTGCCGATGTTCTCAATATTATTCATTAATGTTCATCACTATCGCGATTACTTACTGAATTCTACACTAAAATAATATAACTATTCAAATTTTTATTTTCTCTATAGAAAAAATATATATTGAAGTTAATATGAAAAAAATCTTTTTGCTACAGTTTTTAGTGGCGACAATGTACCTCCCGCCAAATACGCCTATCGTGGAATTACGTGGCAAATATATGCTCAGCACACAACACCGACTGCAATATACGCAAAGTGGTAGGCAGCACGTCCAACGACCAGGACCGTTCGTGTTTTTCTATCGTCTGCCACGCGATGGCACCGAAGTGTGCGTAGACACGCGGACATACGGAAATGACGCGAGGTTCGTGCGGCGTAGTTGCAAGCCGAACGCCGAGGTGAAGCATTGCATCGAGAAAGGCACGCTACATCTCTATATTGTGACGACATGTGCAATCGAGAAAAACGCCGAAATAACAATCAAACACGAGCAGCATGATCTGCTGCTGTCACCCAATCCCAGTTCCCCAGCGATGCCTGTTGTGTGTGCGTGTAATAATCCACGGGAGTGTCAAATTACAAACGCGGCGAGCCAGCTGAACAGAAGAGGTAGCAACGGCGCTCTTGTCGAAAATGCCGAGTAAGTTTTCACATAACGATACAAATAACAAAATAATACAAGATATTTTATATATTTTTGTAACGTATTCATATTATCTTTATCTGTGTGTTACTCAGTGGCAGAGAACGAAGGCGACGAGGTAGAAGGAATACAGTCTGTGAGGAAACTGACTCCATACCACCGGCGGTTCCTCCGGTGACGAGCGTCACGCAAGCCACTACGACTACAACATCGTCTGCATCATCGACGGTGACTCCTGCAACACCAAGGAGACCCGTCACAACTACGGTTATAACTACAACGACCCGTCAAGTTGCAAAGGAAGAGACCCCCGCTACGGTAACGAATACGCAGCCTCAAACGTCACCTAATTTAAATCAATCGGTGACGACGACGACGACGACGGAATCGAAAAAGGATAAAAAGAAGATGACACGGGAAGAGAGGAAAATGGAGGCGATTATAAAGGCTTTCGAGAGGCTAGAGAAAGCAGAGCAGAGAAAACAGGAGGTACAAGCGAGAAATGCGCAACGAAAAGAATCTGGTGGCACGCACAGCGATAACGAGGATAGTCACTCGACGACGGGACAATCTAAGAGTAGTAAACAAACAAACTCGGAGAGACCGCTACGACGTAGAAGGAGGAAAGGTCGAGCGAGGACGACAAGTTCATCTCAGTCGCAGGGCAGTAGTCGAAGGACAAGATTGAACTCCGCCGAGTCGGACGTATCTTCTGGAGACGAGAGCAATTCCATGCAGTCGCCGCCTTTGTTGAGTCAGAATTGTCCACCTAACCGGGACGTTCCCTATTCATCGCACTTACACACTCCGTCTAAGAACACGACGGATGATGTTAGCAATACCGGCTCATCATCTGGTGGAATTCCTACTGCTGCTGGTTTATTGCTAGCTTTAGCGAATTCTAACGCTCCCGGTCCTCCGAGTTCTCCACCGTTACAACAACCCACTCCTGTCAAAAGTCCTACTTGTGACAGCGGAGCCAGTAGCAGTTCACAGAGTTCTACGCCATCGACACCGTTGTCCTCTGCCTGTTTGTTGGTGGCCGCCGCGGTCGGCCCCTTGGCTCCGGGTTTCAAATTTCCGAAGACAAAGAAGGTATTGATGAACGAATGGCTAAAGGAATCGCCCGATCCGCCACAAGTTAATATACCTCAAGTGTCACCTCTGCCGGTTTTACCACCTGCCGGTCCATCAGCCTTACAAAATTCCATGAATCCACTGTGCAGCAGGCATTTCTCACCGGTACCGACAGATGCTTCAGCGGAATTCCTATCTCAGAGTTACGCAGCCAAAAGTCTAGCCACTCTCGTGCAAGCTGCCAATTCGGTTAGCGGCATATGCGATTCACCGCCGCAACGTAGACAGCAACAGCAAGTGATTCCCAGTAATAATAATAATAATGGCAATGGTGGCAGTCCCGCTGTCTCTACAGGCTCGGCAAAAAAGCGATGGTTGCGCCAGGCTATTTCGGAAGAGTGTGATTCACCCAATAGCCGGCCTGAGAGTCCTCCTTCGCTTAGCGAGACGGTAGCACCCCCCAAGAAGCGAAGAATAGCTCGAGAAAGTTTATCGTCGGATAATTATACCCCGCCGACGACACCGACCATGCTGCTTCCGACTGAAGCAGCGCCTAACAACAGATCACTATGTTCTGCTGATGTAAGTTTCAGTGTTTTTATTAAATACTAATTATTTAAAAAAATAATATCAAGACTCTTTCTCACAGTAGAATTAAGGATAATATAAATAGGTTAATGAACCAAATCAGTTATAAGTGCTTAAAATATATTAAAATCTAATGTCATATGATAAGATGTATAATAATATTTTAAAACCATATCGTATAATAAAGTTGTCGCAAATATTTCGGCCTATAGATTAATAATTAAATTTTAATATATTACTAAACTTATAATTGGCTTTCATTAGGCTATTTATATTTATCTTTGCATTATTTTAATATTTAATTTGTAATATGTACATGATAAAGTAAACTATATATAACATTGCTAATATTTTCCAGGATGACTATACAGAACATGTGCAATCGCCTATTGTGGAACAGACCGATGACAGACATTACGATTCGGAATCTATAAAAGAAGATATTAAAATGGATGATAGATCTATGGATTCTGACAAACCAATTATTCAAGAAAAACTCTCAATTGATATTTTTCCTCAATCAGAATTTTATGTAAAAAGTGAAGAAAAAACAGAATGCTCTGACATTATTAAAACGGAAGAGTCTTCTGAAATGGATGTAGACAATGTTATGACAAAAAAAGAAAAAGTTTCCCCGAAATGGGAGGGAGATGATATAAAGTCCGAATGTAGTTACGATCAGTTAGATCAAAAAATAATTGAAAAGATTCGAGAGGCCGTTGAAAATAGAGTATCATTCAGCAATTTTGATATCAAGAAAGAATCTTTCGCTAAGGAGGAAATTGTCACTAAAGGCACAGTTGAGATAATTGATCAAAATGAACCCGATACCGAGATGGAAGGATTCAGTTCTCCCATCGCTACTATAGAACCCGACGCGATTTTAAAACAGCGAGTGGTAGAGATGCAGCTGGAGTTCGGGGGTGGCATTGCCGAAATCGTGAACATTGCCAGTAGCGAAAACGAAAAGTCGAACGATGAGAAGAAATCATCCGAAGCCATTGCAAAGTGTGAAGAGATTGCTGAGAAATCAGACGACAACGCATCTATCGATGAGTTTGACGTCGAAGCGCAGATGAAGAAGATCACGGGCGACGACGGTAACGACTATCAGGAAAAGATTGACACGAGTTCGGAGAAGGATAAGAGCATGGATGGAATAGAGGGACTAATGGATAGCTCGAAAGAGGATTCGGATTCCGAGGATAAGGACGTGGACGATGACAAGTACTGCGAATCTTCCTTTAAGTTATTTGATATCAGTCATGAAGAAACATCTTTCAAAGAATCGGATACTAAGCCCGATACTAAACCGGAACAGATTATCGTTACAGAAGATGACACGAAAGAGACGGATAAGAGTACGAATGACGAGCCCGCAAAGGAAGTCTCCACAGTGGAAGAGCCGTCTGCCTTTGCCGCCCTGTCGGAGGAGTCTATCTTCGATTCGACTTCTGCGAACATGGATGCGGAGTCCATCGCGGACCCTCCCAAGATCTTTCACTCGATTCCACCTTTGAGCGAGCGCATTCGCAAGAAGACCGATTCGTCTGCCACGCCGAAAACGCCTAAGATGGACTTTGAAGCGGCTATCATAGAATCGACGATAAGTATGGACGCTGTGGACGGGTCTAAGAATGGGGAGCAAAAGTCGATGTTGTCAACTGCGCTACGCGAACTTTTGGAGGCAAAACTGGACGACGAGCCGACGGCCGAAGTAATGAAAAATGACGTTGATAATGAGATTAACGCGCCATCACAAGTAATTCAACCAAAATTAGACTCCTCTGAACATAGTTTAGACACAATACAAGATTCGGCTTCGATTCAGGAAACGCCGAAGCTAGAAGAGACTCCCACAAAGGAGGAAGAGACCAAACCCAAAGAGATAAAACGATTGAAAGATCCGAGGACCGTCGTACCGAATAGTATGCCTGCACCAGCTTTTAAACCGGATTCTCTTCCTCCTGTCAAGCGCAAGGTTAGAAGGGTAGGACTGTAGTAATGTTTTTTGTTGCTGACAATTCGTTATCTTATCATTGTTCATTACTATCCTCATCAATATAGTCCTACTCTATATATTATATATATAGCACTATATAAATATCACTATAGTACTATATAAAATCAAATAATTCCTACATTTCCACTTCCTTTTTATTTTCATAAAATTTTCATTTTCATGAAATTATTTAGTTTTTATTTCTATAATATTATTTCTATTCTTTTTACATTTCTATTCGTTATACAGGGTATCGCAATAACTATTACTACCTGAAATATCTTCTAATCTATAAGGTGTAGAGAAAAATGTATATAACCAAAATTACACGATGTAAAGGAGGCTATTATCATATGGTGATAATAATTTTTGTCCAGGTGGAGGCGCTTCGGAGATTTCAAGATCAACTTCGTTTTTTTAAATAGAATTATATGAATTTTTTTACACAATATGATTCCTCTAATTATTCTGCATAAAAAAGTATTAAGATCATGGTATCGAAAAATTAATAGTTTACGAGATATCAAGTTTAAAATTACTTTACATCTGGATTTTGACATTCTTCATAAATGATGATCAACTTATTATTTTCTTTTGACACCGCGTACTTCAATGAAAACAAACATTCTTTGAGGGAAGTCTTAAGCGAAATGAAATTTAACGTGAAAAGTTTAGTATCGATACAGTTAATTATGCAAGATGTATTCATTTGAAGAACAAGTTGATATGATCCTCATTTATGGAGAATGTCAAAACAATTCAGTGTGAGTGAAAAATTTACACGCTGAACGATATCCTAATCGCACTCGGCCTTCGTGTCGAACATTTAAAAATATTTACGATAAACTTAGATAAACTGGTAGTTTAAATACTCGTAAAAGTGAACGTGATAAGCAAATAACTCATGAAGAATAAAATTCAGGTTCTTGCGAAGGTGACTAAAAATCCTCACATTAGTTTGCGACAAATTGAACGAGAAACTAATATTAAAAAGAATAGTATAATATATTCCGTATTTTGCATCGTCACAAATATCATCCATACCATCTCAGTATTCACCAAGCAATTGCATAGAACGGACTTTGTCAATCGTGTTAGATTTTGTCAATAGGCACAACATTAAATTCAAAATAATAATTTATTTTTTGATGTTATTTACTGATGAGGCAACATTTATTAATCACGGGAATGTTAATTTTCATAACATGCATTTCTGGTGAAAAATCCTTATTGGCTGCGGCAGATCGAACATCAGAGACAGTAGTTTTTGAATGTATGATGTGGTATCGTAGGTAACAAATTACGTGCCTCCTTTTATTTAAAGACGTTGTCCTTCTATTTACAATGTAGTGCAAAAAATTGCTTTTAATCAATTTTTTCATTTATTACTGATAGGTAACAAAATTATTGACATCTAAATGGCAATACGCTAATTTTCTTGAGCATACATTGGGTATTTTGTTAGAAGACTTGCCTAGTTATCCATATCGGAATATCGCACGACGAATAATGTGGTACCAGAACGATGAATGCTCGGCTCATTTTTCTTTGGTTGCGAGAAATAAACTCAATGAAAAATTTCCAAATCGCTGGATTGGACGCGAGGATCCTATAACATGGCTCGTTCATCAGACTTGACACCGGATTATTTTTTATGGGGAACCCTAAAGGACATGGTATACAAAGAATAATCAACTACATCTCACGACATGCAACAACGGATTATTGCAGTACGTTAATATCTCCCGACCGTTATTAGAACAGCAAGCCAATCAATGAAGAATCCAATGTTGCATTGATAGTAATAGCCATCATTTCGAACATCTTTAAATTTACATAATTAAATAAAATGTTATTAATTAAAAGAATGTTTGTATCCGTTTTATTTGACATAAAAAGTTATGTTAGAGGTATAAAATATTTCGTAAACTATTAATTTTTTGGTGCCATGATCTTAATACTTTTTTATGCAGAATAATTAGAGGAATCATATTGTGTAAAAAAATTCATATAATTCCATTTAAAAAAACGAAGTTAATCTTAAAATCTCAGAAGCGCCTCCACCTGGACAAAAATTATTATCACCATATGATAGTCCTCTTTACATTATGTAATTTTGGTTATATACATTTTTCTCTTCCTTATAGATTAGAAGATAATTCAGGTGGTAATAATTATTGGGACCTTGTATATAAATTCTTTTTATAATAAAAGGCGATCTTATATGGAAATATTAATACATTTTTCTAGTTATCCATATCGGAATATCGCAAACGCAAACAACAGTCATCCGGAGGAACCGGAACCGAGCCAGAATCGTCGAATGACGCTTCTACTACGGACAAAAGTGGAGCACGAGGTAGATCGGATAGCGCCAGCAGCGGTACTTCTTCGCTCAGTTCCGATGAAGAAGGTTCAAAAACATCGCTTTCTCTCGAGTTGACAGGAATGAACTCGTTGACACTATTCCCTAACGCGGCTAATGAGAACGATGAAAAAAAAGGTAACAATCACTCTCCAAATATTTGTATTTGATATAAATACAATTTGCTAATAAATATATTGTAATTTTTTTAAGTACTTAAAGTCATTAGTTTTATGCAATGTGATAATTAATGATTTAATATTTAAATCAGGAGAAGAGGGTGCAATTGGTTGGTCTGCAGCGCCAACTTTGGTAGAACGTCAACGAGAAAATCTTACTGAACGATTGAAACGCGAATTTGGATTGTTCCTCAGCGATGACGAGGAGGAGAGAGCTCGCAAGCATGGTATATATATATATATATATATTTTTTTTTTTTTAATATATATGTATGTGGAACAAAGAGAATGTAGCAGTTTTAGAGAAGATGAAATCAATTATGGTTATAGAAAAATGAAGAATTCAAAATATTTATTAGATTTGAAGAATAATGATCATGCTATAAGTAGATACTGCTTATATGTCATCCTCATTCTTCTGCTTACAGGTTTGACGACGGAGGCAATACTGAAGGCGCATAAATCTCCGCCTCAAAACTTAGTAATCAGTACCCCGCCGGCATACTCAGGACTGCCCCCGCAGTTACCCCCGCAGCCATATATACCGCCACCCGGCTCGGCGTCCATTCACTATCCCCAGTTCCAGAGTAAACCTGGCACGGTGCAATATCCGAACTTTGCGATACCACCGCCGACCACGTCCCAGCAACCGATATACAACACCGCCGCGTCGTCGCAGGCGACTGCAGTCAATAAGCAGACGCAGTCAACGCCGTTTTTGGTACCTCAAGCATCCCAAGCGCCACCGGGTTCCAATCCGTATCCGCCACAATTCGTTCCGCCACCGCCGCTGCCGCCGCCAACCGCGGGAACGACGGTGCCGATCACCAAGTTCCCAGCGGCGACGCCGCCACCGCCACCGCCTCCGGGCACCCAGGTGTCGTATCCTCCGGCGTCGTCGGGACAACCTCAGAAGCCGTTTTTTAACCATCCGGCGCCGAGGTCGTAACCGGCAGAAAAGGGTAGGATTGTTAAAAGTTCTTAAGTTTTTAAACTGATATTGTTTTACATTCTCTACAACGAGCGACATCTCGATTGAACCGCCTCGACTATCTTGCCCACTCTTCTGTCGACGAGACGAAGTTTTAGACTCGGTTCTTTGGAAAAGAAAGCAAAGAACGAATTCAAACTGTATATTCTTGACGGAAGCATTCTTACATTCTTTTGTAGAATACTAAAATATTATTTCGTATGGAAGCTTGTGTGAGATACAAATGGCAAGAAGTTGCGTACAGAATTCCAATAATTTTCTAGATAATTAGAAAGAGAAATATAATTTTTAGTTTGCACTATCAAAATCGCTTCTAGGATTTTCACATAAATTTCTGAAATTTACCGTGCATATGTTCGATGATTTTTCTCTTAAAGTATTTCGACGGAATTCGTGTGGCCTAAGGTGATAGCTGAATATTTTGAGGATATAGCGATGTGCATTTTTAGGTAGGATATATCGAGAGAGTTGTATCGGTACCTTTTTCGCGAGCAACGGCCAAAAGTGTATTTCAAATGGCGTACACTTTTTATACCGGTGAAATGATGCCCTAAAATGTTTATATATAGCATTAGTCCAATTTTTTAATAAGGTGTTAATAAAGTTGGAAGCGCGCTCTCACTCAGTTGACGGAATCAGCTGATCTCGCGATATCCCCTTTAAAAGCAGTTATCATTATATATACAACATGCACTCTGCATAATACAACTTATCTGTACATATTATTTGCATATACGCATAATGTTAACTTTATAGCTATATTTAATAATGCTATATATTTAGATTAGTTCGTAGATGGTAACCGTAACAAAACCTATGACACACGTAGACACGTAAATGAATACTGTGTTGTGTTGTTTTTCTGACATATAAAAAGGCAGAAAGAGGCGCGGAATTCTCTATATTTTATATTTCATTGTAAAAGGGCAAATTATTTATAATAAAGGGTAAATGTTGAAATTTGAAGACTTGAGTTTTATTTTGGGGATTCGTGAAAGTATATTACTACTTGATTTTTCTTATACGGCGACGCATTCGATATATGCGACAAATGTTTTAACGCCGATTTTATTTAAAAACATTTATTTATGAATTTGTACAAGAATCGAGAGATTCTAAGAAGGACAGACCAGTTACAATGAAAATGGTACAATGTGACCGTACGTTTTATTCTCTTTGATACTTTAAGCAATAATGCAATACATTTTTAGTTATACGGAAAAGCGCGAGAGATCACGGTGTGTGACAATACGTTTTAATTACGGATTTATCCTTTTTAGGTTGAGATCTCCAAAAATTTCATTCGCTCAGAACATTCATTCAAGTACAAAACCTACTATATTATAAAAAGTAATTAAAACGCGTAGAAGTAAATTATGGTAAATTAATACAGCGAAAGAATCGTAGTCTATTTTGTAACTGAGAGCTGCTTCACGGTATCTTATCGTTTAGTACGCGAAAAATACGATTGTTCTATCGTTTCACAAAGGATATGTTTCTTTTTTTCTACTCCGAGCGATAGATTTACGTCACAAATTATAAGCTGCGCGTTAGCAACATTCTTCGCGCAGATATTAGTAATTCGGTATATTAATCTCGTGATTAAAAATAATCGTAACGATTACTTTTTGTCTATATAATTTAAAAATTGTCTAGTTCCAGCATCAATAGATATATATGCGCGCATGTAATTATGCACATTGTATTTTATATGTAATTGAAATTTTGTGTGTGTGTGTGTGTGTGTGTGTGTGTGTGTGTGTGTGTGTGTGTGTGTGTGTGTGTGTGTGTGTGTGTGAGTGATGTGTGTGTGTGTGTGTGTGTGTAAATTTTCAGATTTCAATGGTGCGATTATTAGGTGTACATAAATATGTTACTTGTTATGAGAAGCCAAGTTCGAATTTCTTTGTAAGTTAATTACCTTTTATTTGTAATATAACGTATGTTTATCTATTTTCGGTCGTAGACTTTCCAAATCGCGAGGAGCGAATGATGAATATTAAGAAAAACAACGAAGTTACTTCGTTAATGCTGTTTATTTAAGACAGCACATAAGAGTCATAATTATTCACTTGCCGCGGTATGATAGAGTCCGACCGTGTCGCTCGAATTAATTATAGTACAATTAGATGATAACGTTCATTAGAAATTTGTAACGTTTATAACTACGTTACATATTGAAGTGATGTTGCAAGTGACAATTAAAATCATTTTCGAAGAGTAAGAATGTATTATAAACTCATTTAAATGAAGCCGTGACTAGAGATTGAATTGAAATTTAACCAATCAAAGCAAAGTTCACTAAACTTGAGATTGGTTTTCTTTCTTCTGATTTGTTAAATTCTAACCCAATCCCAATCTCAATCTCTAGTTTGACCATGCATGGCTTTATTTTAAGTTTCATTGGCGAAAAAGCAAATATATATCTTAATTTATTATACAAAATGCAAAAAGCGTTATTTTCATAATGGATTAAGACTCTCTTAGCTTGGACTTGTATAGTTTCCTGATTACAAATTATGTAATTGGATGCGGTCCACCATAAGTAAGTACTCCGAATTGTTTATAACTCTATTGAACGTTTATAACGTCAATAATATTAAGCTCGCGGTAATAGCGATAAGCTATTCTATTTTATCTTGCGACATTATTGTGTCATTAATTAATGTGGCATTAACGCGCTACAGATTTTCGCTCTGTGAAAACTGAATTTAGAAAGTAAAAAACCACTTAGAAGAATTTTGATTATAAATTTTACAGAAATATTATTGGCTGCTTTGTGAAAATCTTTTTCCGTGAAAGAAAAGGACGAAAAAGTTAGACGATATCATCCTCGGTGGAATAAAAATCTATAGATAAAGGACAGGGCGAAAACATCTGGAGCACTCGGGAGTACGAAGTGTACCGCATCCGCTGTGTAATCTGATTATATAATAGGATTCTACCTGAATGAAGATGCAAAATATGCAGTATGGGATTCTTGACATGCGCATAGAGTGAAGAAAAGCGAGCAATTTTGACAGTATACTGTCGGTTTTTAAGCAAATATCAAAGTTTAGAAATCTGTGATTAGGAAACCTGGTAAAAAAAAAAAAACAAACTGAATTATAAAATTTGTGCATTCTCTACGGAAGCGGGGAAGGGGGGGGGGAGGGTGTCCTAACAAAATTCCTGGGTACATATATGTGTATGGATCTCCTATAAACAAAAGGGAAACCTTCTTTTTTTATATTGCGTTTGGCTGCGATTTCAAAGTATAAACAGACGTATTTTTGGCATTTGATATTTACTTTGTACTTTAGCTGATATTTTGTAATAAGAGAAGAGAGACATACGTGTACACAACACTACAATATAAGTTTACAAATGTCGCGGATGGCGTAACATCAGAGAGATAAAAAAGTGTACAGCTTATGTTCGCCATCTGCATATACACAATGAGAACATGTAAATATTTTTGTAAGATAAATACATATATATATACATTAATCTCTCTCTATCCTTCGAATTTTCTTTGAAATTCTATTGGAAATTCGAAGATTACAAGCTACGATTGCTTTGCAGCTAAATCCATATGTTTATTGTCCGTTGTATAATTCTCTGCTCTAGTTGGTATTATATACATTTATATATACATATATATATATACACAC